CAATGACCTAATCACATGCATCCTACTTCAGAAGACTTTCAAATCTGCACTTGAAAGGGAATCCTCTGAACTGGCATTCATGCTAAAATTCGACACTCTCCGTGGGGGGGCTGAACAAAGACCCCAACTACCATACCCATTACAAAGATGGCTTCCCTAATTATCACCTCTAATACCATTAACTCTCAGACATCTACCCTTCCCCACCTCTAATATCATTAACTCACAGGCATTCAGCATTCACCTTCTTCCCCCTCCCCCCCCCGCATCCCCCTTCTGTTCTGAAATGTGATTTGTCCTTTTCATATGTGTTCATTTTTTTTTAATTGTATCCTTTGGTATATATGGCTGTGACTATTTTCTTTCACTATTTGATCTGAGGAAGTGGGTCTGGCCCACGAAAGCTCATCATCTAATAAACCATCTTGTTAGTCTTTAAAGTGCTACATAGTCCTGTATTTTCCTACCATAAGGCTCTGATAGGGAGGGGTCATGTGCAGTCACAGAGACACTCAACCATCCTTTTGAGTGACTGCACATCCATGCCTCTGCTGCCAATGACTCACCAGGAGTTCAAATGGGAAGTGGGCTCACGGCCTACATGAACAAGGATTGTAGGGCCACTTGTCCAAATCTGGCAGAGTTTCTAGACTGATGAAAGATGGCATAGAGGGAGGCAAATATAAATGTGGAATCAGACTTCTCCATTCCAAGTGTCTGCAGCCAGAAATACCATGGAAGTTGCCAGAGACCTGGTTAAGTGAGCCACCAGTTTAGCTGGAGGTGCAGAATCAGCCAAAACAGTAACACACACACGGAAGCCCAGGAAGGTCCTCTGAGTGGATAGTGGGCAGGCCTTTACTGTCTGAAACTGCAAAAAGCTCAAAGACTGAAAGGCCTAGTCTGATCCAGAGAAAAAGCCAAAGCTCCCCTAGCATCTAGAGCCATGGTGTCCGAACAGTTCTGAACTAACCACACTCAACCAGCCACAGGTGACTAGTAGCTAGCATGTTGGACACCAGGGATCTAGAGCCTGGAGCTTTTCTTTCCCAATACGTGAATGAGGCTTTGGAAAGAAAGGCAGTAAATAACCATCATGCTGCCTAACATCAATCTTTCAGTTGGCTACATCCAGCTGTCGGGTGGGCTGCTACGACTCAAGATCTGCCACGCTGGTCTGAAGAGGGTGAAGGAGAGGTCATTCTGGACTCTGACCGGGAGGTCTCAGCTCTGTTAGCTTTGAAGTAGCAACTGTACAAACAGCAGCAGAGGGGCTCCCTCAGGGCAACCCTCAGTCCACATATTAAACAGCAGAGGAACTTGAAGGCCTATGGCACAGAGGTTGCTATTCCAAATGAGGCAAGTTTCCTTATTTGAATCAAGCGAAGAGGAGTATTGCTTTGCTCCAATGTTCTCCATGTTTACAGCCACGTTTGGTACCAGGAAGTAAGACTTTACCAAAGGAGGGAGATGAGCCAAAAACGCTCAGCACAACGGTTTGGCAATACAATGTTCCCTGGGTGTCAGACCAAGATTTAGGGTACAGCTACACTGCAAGCTGGGGTGCGTGACTAGCCATGCCAGAGCAAGTTCACTAAAGATAGCAGTGAACCTGCAGCCGCAGAGGCTAGCTGCTTGACCACACGTCCAAGGTCCTGGCTGGGCTTGTACATAGGCCACTAGCTCGTGCTCTTGCAGCACTACTCATTTTTAGCAAGCGCTGCAATCCCCTCCAGTGCAGTCATTCCTCAAGCGCAGATTTTTCTCTAGCCACCACTAAGCCACACTGAGTACCTGAGAACTGTGAAACAGCTGCCAAATCAACAGCAGCCAGCTGTTCCGTACAAAATTAATAGCCTGTCTCAGTGAGAAGAGACACAGGATCTTTAGTTACAGCTAATAGTTTGGGTCCCCTTTGTCTCCTCAATAAGACTGAAAGCACAGCCCTTCCATAAGTCTCTGAACTGCAGATAAACTTCATAACTCTTCCCCTTACAGAATTTGGTGTAAGAATTAATTGAAGCCACTGATCTTTTTAAAGGCCACAAACAGAAATCGTAAATAGTCAGTGTTTGTAGTCTATGCTTTTCCATGTCATACTATACAAGTATTATACAATCAGACCTTTTTAAAGTTTGAAATCTTGTTCTGATCCCGCATCATTCTTATGAAAAACGTTTTATCGTGAGTTAAGAGCCAGGAGATCAGGCTGTCCATCTGATCCAAAGCTACAGCTAAGCCACACTTCCTGCTATCTGAGCAGAAGGAATTAGTATCGCAACATGCCTCTAGCTGACAGACATTTGGTAGCTAAAATTGCCAATGCTGCCATTCATTTTGGAAGCATGCCCTAAAAGAGTGTCTATGGAGACAGCATGTGAGTAACAATTAAGGATGTTAAGTATCAGGTAACTAATCAAATAGCCGACACACCATATTGATTAGTCAACAGGACGCCTCTGCCCTAGGGCTGTTGCTACACTTCAAAGGCGAAAGCACCGCATAGAGCCCAGGCTCTACACAGCGCTTTTGCCTTTGAAGTGTCACAAGGAGCCTGACCCTGGGCTCCCCGTGACATTTCAAAGGGGCAGCACTGCATGGAGCCTTGGGTCAGCTTGGGACTCCAGCTGATCCCAGGCTCCATGCAGCGCTGCCTCGTTGAAACGCCACAGTGTTTCAAAGGGGAGGCTCACACGATTAATCATGTGATTACATTTTTTAATTGCTTGACAGTCCTAGATTTAAGTTTACAGCATCCCCACCCTGCCATCCCCCAGTAGTCAAGATGTCATGTTACTTCAGACACCTACTGGACAGTGGATTTTATTTAAAGTGCATTCAGTGTGGGCCAAATTCCAAACTGCAGAACCAGGGACCACACCGCCATGAAGAAACTCCAGGTACTGGGGAAAGAGCAGATGGAGAGGACTCAGAGGAAGACTGGACTGGACCCCTATACTGCACCTCCATCTCCCTGCCTGCTTCGCTAACACCTGAAGTCCCCCCTCCACACACATACACTTTGTTGGTAACTCCTTCTAGAGACTAGAGATGTTTTAGGCTGCTTTTTCCTGGAAGCACCAGCAGCTGTCTACCTGGGCCTGGGGCCAGTGGCCAGGCCATCGACACAGGAAGGTGGCATGGCTCTTGCTGAGTGAGGCTGTTAGGCAGGCTTACAGGGATCATCTGTGTTGGCACAGTATGTGTGTGTCGGGGGGATGGGGGGGAAGAGGTAGGATTGGGGAGGCAAGGCGAATATGCCCTCAGAGCTCACAGGTGGTTCTTAAGAGTGGTATGGAAAGGGCTTGTTTGAAGATCCATTTGGGCTGGTGGTTTTAGAAGAATTTGGCAATGTGCGAATCCAAGGACAACAGACTAATAAGCCAACTCTCCAAGCAGCAACTGACAGAGCTACGGTCAGGGAGTCAGTGACCTTGGGGGGAATTTTGAAGCAGAAGCCTTTAGCCACAGGGTATTTTAAGGTCTCTTGCAGGCCCCCACCTTCTGCACTCGGAGTGCCAGAGTGGGGAACAGCTTTGACATATGCCTAGACTATTCCCTGAAATACTGGAATTGACTGGACGCTGTATTCAAATGTTACCACATTGCAGACAAAAATGCCAATGCAATGTAAGGCCTTTGCAAGCTCCACCAACTTTTTTTTTTTTAAAGAAAGGTATGGCATATAAACAAGGCCGCCAAAGCAAAGAGCTAGCAAATTAGGTGGTATCGTATTTATTCTTCCAGGAACAGTTTTCAACTACTCACCCTGTTGTACATATATCTAAGCATGAAGTCCAGTAGAAACGATTTCCCTTTGCGGAAAGCCCCTGCTACAGATACAACTACTATATTGAGATCTTTTATGTGCTCCTGAAGCAAAATGTGCTCCAATGCCTTTTCATCGAGTTCAAAGTTATGGTCATCTTCACGTGCAAGGACAATTTGTATAGGGCAAGGCAGCTTCACTTCTGCTTCTGCTTCCTCTTCCAAGTCCACAGGGGCATCCTCCTCAAGACTCTTATCTAGAAATTAAGATTTGAAAAGACAATTAGTCAATCAAGCTAAAGAGATTCTATTTTTCTGAATTTGGGCAATAAAATTCACAGATTTTTGCCAGGGCTGAAGAACTCTGTAGCTGGAAAGCTTCTCTTCCACTAAAAGAAGTTGGTCCAATGAAGAGTATCACACCCCTCTCCCCCTTTGTCTCGCTAATCAACATGGTTACAACACTGCAAATATACCAGGGGTCTCAAGTTTACCGTAAAGCCAGTGACAGTACTCAAATCCTCCCCGGCAGAGCTCCTGGGGGGAGGTGGTCTCCGTGCGTGCACCCTCACACGTGTCTCCCAGCACTGCCTGCTGGCCACGCTTTCCCCCCTGTGCGCATCCCACCATCCCACTGCAGGTCTGGCCACATCATTGGCAGTGCAGCGGGGCATCGTGCTGCTGCCAGCATGTCTCTGTGGCCCAGGGAAGTGTGTGCATAGCTGTACGCTGTGAAATGACTTACTCATTTTGTGAAACTGACTCGACTGCAGTGATGCCAACTCTCCCAATTTCATCACAAGCCTCCTAATACTTGGGGCTCCCTCCCACCCCCAAAAGCCCTGGCCACATTATTTGATTAAGCCTGATCTAGAAACTTCACTACATGATTCCTCATGCACCACTATCAACAGCCAGCACTCCGACTTAGATTACTGCACCCTCACCTGTGCCCCAGGGGCCCGGCCTGGGAGACAGCAGAAGAGCGCGGTGGGAGTGGCTTCCCTCACAGGCCGGATGCACTGCCCCCTTTGATGAAGGGGTCCACTCCCTGTGCAACATGGAGCAGAAGCCAGGGGAGTTGCTTTAGCCCAGCAGTTCCCAACCTTTTCCAGATGGGGACCCATTTCGACAATTCAGGAAGACTTGGTGACCCACGGCAATTCAAAGACGGGGGGAAGAGGGAGGACAGAGCCACCTGGGGAGACACTTGGCGACCCTTTGAAATGCAATGGCCACCCATAGGTTGGGAAACCCTGCTTTAACTAAGGGCTAGGGCGGGAATCCTCCGCACAGTGCCTGGCTCTCAATCAACAGGCACTGGATATTGCTTTCAGTAGCAAGCGTAACCCACGGTTGTTCCAGAAGGCAGAAAAATCTCCAGTGTCTGGATAGACAGAGCCACTTCAACTCAGTGACAGTGTCACACAAGCAAGACTCGTGTGCATGTACGTATGAAAGCGAGAAAGATCTGTGTGTGTATAACAGGCAAGGAAGATAAAATACAACACCACAGTTTGCTATTTTAATGGCTCTCCTTAATTACAACCCATTATTTTAAGGCTGTCAGCATCTCACAGCGAAGAAAAAAGGACTCGTGGAACCCTAGCCTCCCCACTTCCCCCACCAACCATGCCCCTGCACAGGGATCCCCCGTGTCCTCCGGAGTAAACAAAGCAAAACCCCAGCAGGTAAGTCAGACGAGCTCAGACAGGAGTACAGGAAAGCAACAGCTGGGTGGCTCTCTGGCAACACACTTTGCCTCCCAGCAGAGGCAGCCAGCCAGCTTCACACCCAACAGCGCCCTCTGCTCCTGGGAGCATGAGAGCAGGGGGGGCCTGGATGCTGCTGCAAGCTGTGTGCACTAGGGATGTAAAAGATTAGTCAACTAGTCGCAGCTGCTGCCCCTTTAAAACGCCACTTCTAGGCCTTTCAAAGGGGCAGCCATGGAGCCCGGGGTCAGCTGGCAACTCTAGGTTCCCAGCAGCACTTCCCTGGAACCCGGGGTCAGCTGGAATTCCCAGCTGACCTCGGGCTCCCCATGGCTTTGAAATGCACAAGAGCCCCAGCTGGGGATTCTTGTGCATTTCAAACCAGGCATGCAGCGTGCAGCTCAGAGTCAGTGGAACTTCCCGCTGGCCCCAGGCTGTATGCAGTGTTCCACCTTCCTCCTTTGAAATGTACAAGAGCCCCCATCCTTAGTGTGCACTTTCCATCCCCTCCTCGCTCCCTGGCTGGCAGCCACATGAGCTGGATGGGAAAAAACTTTAAGTGTTTCCGGGTGCTGAACTGGGGAGGTTCTCTGGCCACAGAAGGCTCCTGGGCTGTGACTTTGAGACCATGACATACTTCTCATGGATAGTGTAATGATACACAGGTCAAAACATATTGCAATGAATGACGACTTCGCGAGTTTTATAAGCTTTCCTGGAGAACATAATTTATTCTGACCGTTTGCCCATTTCATATCAGTCTTGTGTCTTTTCCCTCCCTCCCGGCAACGGCATGAGTTCTGACAAAGAAAACTATTTTATGCAGGGCTGGCCTTACCATGAGGTGAACTGAGGCATCGGCCTCAGGTGCCAGACTGTGGGGAGAGGCACGCCACTAGGACCCAGAGAATTTAGACCTTTCAAAGTTTTGGCCCAAGCGAGGGGGATAGGGGCATCATTGGAGCTCCCCGCCTCAGGTGCCAAAATGTTGTGGGCCAGCCCTGATTTTATGAGCTCTACATGTAAATACACTCCAGAGCAGCACCTGCCTCTTAGCACCTCAGCTTGCTTTCCATTTTAAAGGAATTTTGTGTTTGAAATGATCTTTTCAGCATTAATATTGTGAAACGCCTCAAAAAGCTTTGGAAGTGCCGCTTTTGCCACAAATAAGGATTTCTGCTAGCTCTTCTCACATGAAAAAAAAATACACAATTTGCTCAATACAGACTATGTCACAGGAGGATAACATTTCTGGACTACTACTACATCTCTATTGGCATAGAAGGCTGACAGTTTTGGAATTGTACTAACAATATTACCTAGGATGCACAAAGCAACACTGAACGACTGTTGAAATTTATAAACTGCTTCTTTCCAATTCCAACACAATGCAGATTCTAATCCCCAAGTACATTGGGAAGTTTGCACTTTCAACACAACTTGTTAACAATTAGCAAACATTAAACATAAAGGCTTCTAGCTCTGTATGAGAACACAGTGAAGTAGTAAGCAAGATAAATTTATACATATCCTAAAATATACCTGAATGGGCATGCAAAATGCAGAAGGGATTTTGCACCATTGGAAGAAAGTGCATTGAATGAAGCATTAATATGATGATCTTTTCAAAGTCAAGAATTTAGAAATAGTTTCTCTTTTGAACTGACACTTCTTCCTGACCCAGCAGAGAGTAAAGGCCACCATAACTTTGACACAGTTTACATTACACATAAAGAGCCATCATTAGCAGCAAATCCCTTAGCCTGGCTTCTCTTAGCCTTGAGCGCACCTAAATTGGTCTTTTCCATCAATTGGGTGATAGGAGTGCTACAACTCAGGTCAACCTCAAGCTTTCATTCAGTTTCTCCTGCAAGTGAAGAAAGTCACGACTAAGTATTCCCCATAGGCATAAAGATGTTTTCTGTCTGGGCTTTTTATGACTTCTAGAGAAAGGAGAAAGCACAAGTTTCTGTTCCTTGAAAATTCGCCTTACCATTTATCTTTGAGCACTGCAACTGAAGTTCCAGCAAAAGTTGGAGATTATGTCCTTTAAACATTCATGGCAATGTGCAAAGGCTTATTCAAAACTTCAGTGTGCAAATCCAGGCACGGATACAAGGCCTCCCTGATTTCTGCTGGGCATACGGATCCCGCAGCAGTGCACACATATGGTGAAGTGTACTTACACAGAGTCGGTCCACAGCAAAAGATCCCCCTTTCTCCATGCAGACAGTGTGCAGCACACTGCAAGCCACAACAATGTTGACTACGTTGGTGTCCAAATAGTTCTGAAGGTAGCACTAAGATTCCAAATGCACATTCTAGCATCATCCTACTGCCACTGGGTCGGTAGCTTACCCTCCTTTGGAATCATGGCACGATTCATAAGCTATGGCAACAATGGATAAACAGTGTCCCCTAGAGGGGAGCCGTGTTCCACTTCTATGTTAATTGGTGGGAACGTCCCAGTTTGTCCATGAGTCCCTGTCTCCTGACTAACTGGTATTATGCCTACTAGTGCATTCCGTGAGAGGGTCCATGAACCTGTCCTGTGGTCGGGTCACAGCCTGCCTAATGACGGAGTCACGCTTTCTGTGGTTTACGTACTCGTGATCCTTGTGGAGGGCAGCCTCTCGACATGAGTCCCATCAATGGTCCCAGTGCAGTTTACTCAAAACCAGCAAATATTTTAGGAAAATGTGTCATGCCCATTACCTTTGGGTACATAGCCCTGATCTACTCTCAAACCTGTGCCACCATCTCCAGTTTATTTTCCAACTTCAAAGTAGTTAGCCGCAGACCTATAGCAGTCTGAGGTAGCCAGCTTCTAGACTGCTAAAGCTACTCACTTCTGGACCAGGATGGACTCCCTCCAATGGGTGACCGGAGGCTAGAGGATGGGGCTAACTGACTATAAATCCACAGTAACATCCGCTTCTTCCTTCGGAAGTATGGTGCATGCTGCTGGTCATCCCAGCATGACTGTGCTGGTGGCCCTGCTCCAGAATCATCAGTCTATGCAGGTGGAATCTGCAGCTAAAGCAACAGGCATAAGCAGTATCAGCTGAATTGCAGCTGGCACATCAGCATGCCCCCCAAGGTGTTTTGGCAGCTAACACGTCCACCAGCATCTTGCAGGTGCCCTGCCTTCTCTCTCAAGTTAGCACTAAGAATACTAGAGGGGTTCTTCCTAGGGATGCAATAGTGTAGTAGGTTAACCAATTGATGAGCAAAAGCTTATTGCTGTAGACTACATGCAATTCCCTCTCCCCACCCCCCACGCCAGTAATTTTTTTTTTTTTTTTTTAGCAGGCTGGCCAGCAGCCCAGCTCAGTCCTGGCTCACACTGGGTCCTGGACCTACCCCTGCTGCGGCTCTGCATTTCAAATGTATTAGGAGCCAGGTGGGCAGGCAGCCTGGCTCAGTTCTGGCTCGTGCTGGGTCTGGGAGCTCAGATAGCCCCTTTCCCCCATGGTAGAGAGGGGCTGCTGCCACCCCACACCGCTGTGGACCAGCTCCCACCTGGCATCCCGCACTGCTGCCTCGGATACAGAGTCTGCCAGCCCTGCCCTGGGGGACTATAGAATAG